GCATCTGCTTTTTGCAAGGCAAATGATGCAAGGCCTACTCGGTTTAGGCAAAGTACATTTTTTCCACCCAAAAGTGCAAAATGTCTCAAGTCTTTTGGTGACACTGGAACGTATTTTTTTGGAGATGACACATCATACTCCAGGAAATGCAATACCCTGTAGTTTCTAGAACCAGATTAAATATAGCACTTTCTAGTGAAGATTTTCTAGAGGTCTTGAAAAAAAAATTATTATATATTGTCATGTTCAGTGTGTAATATATAAATATGTTCTGTCTCTGCACTGAAGTGATTTAGCATTTCACATACTGTCGTATGTTTATGTACTCTAGATTTGATGCGCAAGCCTCTGAGATCAGTCTCTCATAGTAAAATCTAGTAGTATGCGTTTGGATGACCAAAGAACAGGAGACCTTGCTGTTCTATTCTTAGCATGTTACAATATGTTTACGCTTTTCGAGATGGTGAGAGTTCTTCCCCAAATAGTACGAGGCTCGACTGTTGCAGTGGTGACTATGTAGTGTTTGGCACGATGGCTAAAATAGCCTCATTCTGAAATAAGGTGAAAAAAAATAGACAAAGATGTTTAAAAAGGATTTCAACCTTCAGTATTCAGTACGTGAGATTTGTTAAATTATTTGAAATAGAAATGTCTCCTACTATAGTGGTAGACCTGGCATGTTGTGAAAGCAGAGTATTCGTTTCAAGGTTGAAGAACAGCAGAAAGACCAGTCTAAGCAGCTGTGATTGGAAAGGATGTCAGCTCATCGAAGAGGGTATGAAAAAGGCTTTCAGCAAGCAGTGTGCTGTAGCTTCACCTGGAAGTAAGTCTGAAGGCATAGGAACTATGTAGATGGGCTGCATAATAATTTGGTAACAGAAGGAAGCCAACTCATGTCCTGTGTTTCAACTTTTATCTCAGGTCCTTTTTTCCTGAAAAGCACAGTTGTAGTCTGATGAAGGCAGGAATGACTGTTGAAGCTACACAGCTAACTCTGCTTGTTCTCTATAAAATTTTGCCCGTTGTCTTTTCTCACGAGAGATCATGAAAGCGTTGTCTGAATGCCACATACTTGGGCTGATCTGGAATTTCTAGCTTGCTTGTTAAATATGTTTTCTCACTCAGATTTACAGGAGTTGATATCTTTGTAATAAAATAGTACTAGAATTTGATGAACGTTGTATTGATCAAGTTCATTATGGAAAATGATGAAAAAACCATATATATTCCTGGTTTCTCTCATGCATCCACTATTGGATGTGCTTCTGCAAGTGATCACTAAATTACTCCTATGCACAGTGGTTTTTTTCTATAGATTATTTCATTTTCTGGAACTGGTAGCATTTATGCTGGATTTCAGTTTCATGTATTCTTCTCTCATTAGTTGAGGTTATGACTTTACTCATTGAACAAGCTTGTCAAACTTCCTTGTGTGTATTTAGTATATGTAATGACTGAGAATATAATTTATGCAACTAATTCTAAAACATAGAAACTTTTTATTAATCTTGTAAGTGGCATTATTAACATTATTAACATTTGTCAATACTCAGTGTTTCTAGCTTCAGATTTTCTGCTATTATTTTCTGCCTTTTTGGCATATTTCAATCATCAGGCTAGTTGCAAAAAGCAGTAACCTAATTTAATTATCAAATCAATGTGAAACAATACACAGTCAGAGAAGATTACTTTTTTGGCAGTGCATTTCCTTGATAACTGGGCTGTAATCCTAGAAGAGGCTAGAAAGAAAATGTAAAAAGATTTCTTTATTTGTATCTGTTTGTTCCATATCCCATCTGACGGGTAAATAACTGCCTGTGGAAATGGCTAGTGTCAGTGTTAAGCCATAGCTGAGAAATATTTTTCCTTTTCTTGAACGTGTTCCCAAGCTTCCCAATACTTTTCCATCTCCTCCTAGTGCCAAGGCATAACCTAGATGGGCCCAAAAATGTGGTGTAATGGGTCCACACCAGCGCTCTTAGTCCAAATTACAGTTGTGATTAGCTGAGTTAATAAAATATGCATGATCATGATGGTAACCTTCTTCCCAAATGAAACACTGTGATTTGAAAACACAAATGTCTGAGCCCTTCAGCTGTTGTTTAGCACCTAATTAATGCAGTCCTTAAAGTAGTGTCAGCGCTCTGCACATACAAAACCACACAGCACTGGCCTTTCCCAGTCTTGGAGAGGAGGGAAAGAAGGTTCTGGCTGCGACACAAGCCTTAGGTGGGTCATTGTAAGCTCTAAGCTACTTGAGGTTTTGCCCTTCTGACAGCTAAACAGAGGATGTTTCCTCCTGCGTCACAACCAACTGGAGCAGCCCTGGCAGAGGTGAAGGAAATGTATGTGATAAAACCCAGAGTGGAGGACACGGCGAATTGGAGAGGACCAGGGTCTCATAAAGAACTTGAGAACCTTGAGATTGTGCTGTGATTTGGAGAAAGAAGTCCTGCTGTAAATTTGGGAACGTGGCAGAAACACATGCTTCAGGGGAGAAGGATTCAGATTCACATGTTACTCCCAGGATCAGCTGGCAGTGCAACGGTGGCCGTGCAGAAACGTCACCCATCGCGTGAGACTTCATTAGGAGAGGTTTCCAGTACACGTGCTGCTGCGGACAGTGCTAGGGTCGGTATAACACGATGGGGAGGGCAAGCTCCAGTAGCACACGGGGTGCAGTTGTGAGCACCCATGGAAGAGTTGACCTTAGACTTCTTCAAGTGCAGTAGAGAAGTGTTAGACTGATCAAGGGAGTGAAAGGGTATCATCCCCGATGAGACTGGAAGGACAAGGCTTGTGAAGTCTAGCCAAACGAATGGCTGAGAGAGGATATGATCGTTGTCTATAAATACATTTGGATTGTAAGCACCAAGGAGAGAAAGTATGGTTTAAGCACATGGCCAACAGTGGTGCCAGAACAAATGGATAGAAGCTGGGCTGTGAATAAATTGAGGCTGGAAACCAGAAAAAAATTTCCATGTTGTTGGAGCTGTGAGATTTTGGAACAATTCTCTTGTAGGAATTAATGGGCCAGAAAAACCCTAAGGACATTTTGTGTGGGTACTAGGGTTATAAGAGGGACTGTTTCTTGTGTAGACTGCCCCAGGCACAGGCTTTGCCTTGGCCCATGCCAACTGTAATGTCACTGTAGAAGCAAAACCAATAAACTCGTTTGGGTTTTTTTAAACACTGTGCAACAGCACAAGGAAACACATTCTGATGCATGCAGTCTTACCGACTGGTGACTGTTAGATGTAATCTCCAAAGGACTTGTTTGTACCATTAAAATCAAGGAGTTTTGTGTGTGTATAATCATTTATAAGATCAGAGCCTACAGCTATTCTTTAAATTACGTTGTAGCTGCATTCTTTAAAGATGTGTAATTTCTAATTTTTTTGCAGTTCTTACTCTTGCAAGTAAAACCAAATTCTGCTCAAAGGATTCTGGTCTTTATCTGACTTAGAACAGAAACACCTGTTGAAATTGCGTAAATACGTTTGTGAAGTGTTCTGTAAGAAGCAGTTTCCTTTCATTTTTATGGAGTTTGTTTTTATTTTCTTTTAAATTTTTTCTTCATGTATTTTAATTTTAAAAATTACTGCTCTGGATCTTGGGTTCCAGCAGTTGTAATCTTCTGTGTGTAAGACTGTATTTTGCTGCAGTAATATTTTTTTTAATTATTTATGTTGATTATTGTTACTGATCTTGCAGTACCCTAGAAAATGATCATATGAGCAGAAATAACTCAGATGAAAGAATCTGTACATGTACCAAAAGTCTATTGAATAAGAAACTTAGAGCTTCTGCAGAACTTTGATGTGGAGGGCATCACAGGAATCTCTTGAAGTCATTACAGCTATCTTAGGTGTTGAAATGATTTGTGCATGTTTTGTATCTTGTAGAACAATTAGGATATTAGGTAGTGCACTGAAGGTGGAAACACAGAAGTGTTTTGAAGAAGTGAAATTGTCCGTTTTGCATATAAAGAGTGGAAAATATTTTCTGCTTTTTGAAAAATAATCTTGTATCAGCTGTGTGGGGTGCAGTGTCACTGCTTGTTTGGTAGCAGAATTTGAACCTGCTGGGCATGGTGTGCTAGGCTCTCTTCTTCTCTGTACCCCTTCCTCTTACACTTTCTTGAGTAGGTTGGATGCACGCTAACATAATTTAAAAGATTATTCAGACATTTCAGATCCTGTGAATTAATTTTCTTTTTTTTTGGCTTGCTCGCATGCAAGTTTTTTGTTTTGTTTGTTTGTTTGTTTTTTCTCAACATTTTTGTTTCGATACAATTTATTTCTTAGAGGTGCTATTTTTTCTAGATAATGTTCAGTTTGGCATCTCAGCTGTAGCAATTTCTATGACATCCAGTTTTCCGTCAGTGAGAGCTTAGATAGTTGCAATATCAATAAACTAAGGGCCAAACACATTGTTCTTATGTATGAATTGACAGATTTCAGTCTCTGTTGTCTAAGGGTTTTACAGTGATTACTGAATGTTTTCTATTCAGGTATCAAGAGGTTTAATAGCTCAGTGAATGCCTGTACCACTGTGTGTATGGTGAAGAGATACTGCTCTGTGACTCCATTCAGAACTGAATGTCAGCTGCCTGAGCATAAAAAATACTTACTGTTTAAAGTGACTGCTTGCTGCTGTGTTGTGTTTCATCTGCATGGGCAGATGCAGTCCAGTGGTGCTTGTACTTAGGGCCCAGCATTGCAGAGCATCTTCTGTGGAATGAGAAAGAGCTCTCCCTCTTAATAAGAACACAAAGATCACTTAGTGCTTGTAAAGCTAATCTTATCGTGCTAGAACGGATACATCAGATGAAAAAAGACTAACAAGAGGCTGGAAGCTATTTGGAGAAATAACCTTTAAAACAAAAGACCTGGATTTAATGCTTCTAATGTATTTTTGTACCTGAAAATATGTATGTGTGATTGAGCTATTATGTAAGAAAAATAAAAATATCTTTTTTTCTTCCCTTTTATTTATAGGTACTAAATGAAGCAGTGGGTGCACTGATGTATCACACAATCACTTTAACACGAGAAGACCTGGAGAAATTTAAAGCACTTCGAATAATTGTCCGAATCGGCAGTGGTTTTGATAATATTGACATCAAATCCGCTGGAGATTTAGGTATGACTTTTAAAGATGTTATTTTACATCTTATACTTGCCTCCAGAAATCTGATAGCATCCAAGTCTTTGCATTAATGTTGTCTGTGTAATTTATACTAACATAGTATGTAAGCTGTATAATTTTCTCATCAAAGTGTTTAAAAATCATTATGGAGATACTGGCATTAGTTAATTAAGTGATAATATTAACATCTTTGTGACAAGATGACAATCTACCTGTTCAATATAAATCCAAGGAGAAAGTCCGTAATTTTTAATTTCTTTCCTTTTTACCCCAATTGTATATTTTTACTACTACTGCTGTAATCCAGTTACAAAATATAATTGTCAGTGTGGCATACTACCTCTGTTTGAATAAAAAATTAGATCATTATCGACTATCTGAGACCTATTTATGATGCATGAGATTTAGTACTAAACTACTCCATAAAACAGAAATATTAGTTTTATAGGAGAATCAGTTACTGCTGCTTCAGAATATATTCAGATACTGGAGCTAATGAAGAGAGATGCTGCTTATTGTTTCACTGTAAAAAAAAAAAAAAAAAAGAGCAACAGCCTTATTTGCACTCTTCTTACTTTAGGATAAGCCATCTCTTATCTGTAATCTACAGGTCAAACTACCACTTGGAATAAATGCCTACATTTTCTTTGTTTCTTTTCTAAGATTGAGGTGACCAAGTATGTTTCCCATTATGCTCTGGGAAGATCTTGGAAACATTTATTTCAGTGTGACAGTGCTTAGTGCTAGTAATAACCCCATGGATGTAGTGAGGAGCTGTAATATGGTCTGTTTATCAGTAAATGATAGTAAAGTAATCGCCTGTTTCTAATGGCTGTGTAGTTTGCACAGCAGGCAGAGGGTAACAACTTCTTTGTGAGCTGCTATGAAGAACAGATCAGATCTGAGTGCAAGGCTGTATTCCTGTGTATTGTGACTAGTGCTGAAGTCAGGCACATGCATTGTGAGCCCCAGAAGACACGTATGTATCTAGAGATTGGCCTTGGGTAAAATCCTAGACCAAAATCCCAAAACGTAGGTACAGATCAAAGGCCCCAAGGGGTGAGGAGACTGATTTGTGCAGAGAATCCCTAAGAGGAGGAAAATGTTTGCAGGTTTGTTGGCTGTTTCTACAAGTCTCCATGCTGGATTGTAAGCCAAGTTTCTAATTTAATTGCATCCGTGTAATTCTTCAAGCCAGTTCTTCAACTACAGCAGATTTGGGAAATTTTTATTCATGTGAAGTGCTAAATGGCCAAGTTCCTAATCATTCAGTTTCTATGATGTGATTAGACCGACTTACAGAGTTAGGATCTATGCCATTTGTGCTTTCCAGTATTTATGAAATACGGTTGTCCACTCTGTCAAAAGCCAATAAAAGCTGGAAGGCTTATGGTATAAAATCTCAGATTTTAATAGTTAGAATTTAATCCCAATCATTTCACCCTAACTCACCACTACTGGGACAAATCACTTTCCATTTGTTGAACTAGTACAAATACTATGCATCTCAACAAGGTAATATGAGAGTTAATTGCTTTTTGTAAAAAGCTTTGATTCACTCTCGAAATACAGTGTAGAGTTAGACTGTAAAGTCTCACATATTCCTGAACTTCCGTAGTAACTTTTTGAGTCATTTTTCACAGAGCTGGCTCATGGCGTTGTTACCAGCTTTTCCAATTGACTATTATTTTCATATTAGCACTTTTATTCTTCTTAAAATGCATTAACATGAATGTTTCCTGGATAAAAATCTTTTAAGATCTGGTCTGCTTCTTCTCCACTTCACTAATGGTTGACTAGAAAATATGTGCAAGTTGTGAGTGTAGCTTGTTGCAAGTGAGGTGGGAGTGAAGGGTGATATCCATTGATTCCTGCATTTTTCAACGTTGAACCTATGCACAGGATCACTGAAAGCAGTTGGGAAAGGGGAAAGGGAAGGGAGAGGGGAAGCAAGGGATGTGAGTTACAAGAGTGTGCTTTTTCTATGTAAAATGTCTCTTCATATCCTTACCTTTCTCTTGCTGCTTTTTGTGGTTCACCATGCCCCTGGCCATCAGAAATTAGCTGGTTTTAAAGTTGGGGGAAAACAGAGAGAAAGAAATTCCTGCAGTTTAGGAGAGAAGGTATCTGACTCTTCTCCCCCAAATTTCCTAAGGAAACTTATTCGGTAGGAAGGTGTAAGGTGAGTTCAATTACTTAGTTCTCTTCCAAAATGTGTAAGATAACTTCTTACACTCCTATTAAAACATAATTTGGTTGATGCCAGCTATCAGGAGACATGCTTATTAAATTTGTTTTGCCATCTAAAATCTGCATTTTTGCTCCATGAAAAAGACTTTTTGTATAAACAAGTGCAGCTGTTTAATGTTGCAGTTAAAGGGATGTTACTTTTCAGTCTTGTACTTTTCCCCCATTTGCACTTTTTTCCTCATTTGTTAAAAAATGGCGAGTTTCATACTACGATTGATGTTTGCAGGATGCCGAGATGCATATCCCAGCAAATGATGCTGTTTTATCTTTGTGTAAGTCTAAGAGCAGTGACTCAGCACACAATCTCTACAGCAGAGAAAAGAAAAATAGTTCTGCAGGTTCCTTACGTTGGCTTTTACTTATCTAAAGAAAGCTGTAAAAAAGTACTGGGCAGCAGAATGAAGGTGTTTGCATGTCAAACACAGATAAATATGGTGTGAGCTTATTATTTGTCAGTTTATTGTTATTGCTATTATTGAAGAGAATGTTTTTCCTTCCTTGATTCATAAGATATACTGGCATGAGCTGAGGACTCATTGCATATTTACTTATGTAAAAACCCAAAGAACTAAACAGTGAAAACAGCATTGGGGTGCCTTTAGTGTACAAAACACTTTTTTCTCTCCACCATGGAATTATGCTTTATACTGTTTGTGATCTCCATCAGCAGAACCGAGAGACAAACATTTGTGGGAGCTCATGATTAGAGAGAGAGAACAGAAACAGGTCAAAAAGGACACCAGCTTTTCAAGTAAATGCTTTTCTTAACTGCAGTAGCAGAACCAAGAGACAAACGTTTGTGGGAGCTCATGATTAGAGAGAGAACAGAAACAGGTCAAAAAGGACACCAGCTTTTCAAGTAAATGCTTTTCTTAACTGCAGTACATTGGGTACTGGAAGGTAGAAAGCAGAATGAGATAACTTGCGTGCAATTACAGTCTCTTGTTGACTGATCTGTTTTTTGAAGTAAAAAAGGATTACTGTGAGTCTTTAATCAATCCAGCTTCCATAGTTTTCTGTTTCCACAAAATTTCTCTTTCTGTAACAGTCCTTTATCTTCTTGATGTTAGGCCATTTTTAACTAGTAACTTTTCTGCTCTTACGAACACGGACTTAGTTTTGTATTAGTGCCATGCAGAAGCAGATTTTTTCTTTCCCTGTTGTCAATTAGATAGGTTAGCTCTTTAATTTGAGGGACCAGGAAAGGACTTGGATTCTGTTTGTCGTAATTCTACAAACCTGTGTGCAACACAAAACAAATTGTCCTTCCCTGTGCCATGATTACCCATACATGAGTTAGAAATACTAATAGTCATCCTGTGAGGGCTTTATAAGAGCTGCTATCCTTATAAATTATTTTATGTTTTTCATAACATGTATAGATAGTTTTTGGGAGGATATCTTTGCAGTGATGGGAAGCTACCTCAAGCAATTAATTCTGAACAGTGATCGTTAACCACAGTGTTGAGAGCAAGGCAGATTTCTCTTTGCTATTCAAAACACCTAGCTCAGTGTGCAGGTAATACGCTTACAAAGACTTATGTTCTAAACTACCCGACATCTCCAGTACTTTCCTTCTGTGGTTTCAGTGGTCCACGCTTACGAAGACTTGTGTTCTAAACTACCCGACATCTTCAGTACTTTCCTTCTGTGGTTTCAGTGGTCTGTTTACTGTTTGCTTTAGTTTGCAAACACAATACATAGTAATAACACATGAGAAAAAAAAAGTCTGTACATATTAATCAACTATTATCTCAAGTATTCTGTCTGCCATTACAGTCGGAAACTTAGTATTTGTGCAAAACAGATGTTGAAATGTCGATAAATTTAAAAGTCATACTCCTGAATTGCTGTTAAATGGAAAAAAGTAAAAACGTTTGGCAACTTTCCCCCCATTCTTCACAGGGATCGCAGTGTGTAATGTGCCAGCTGCCTCGGTAGAAGAAACAGCAGATTCTACCATGTGCCACATTCTGAACCTGTACAGGCGAACCACCTGGCTTCACCAGGCTTTGCGAGAAGGCACGAGAGTACAAAGTGTTGAACAGATTCGGGAAGTGGCTTCTGGAGCTGCCAGGATCAGAGGGGAGACCTTGGGCATTATTGGATTAGGTATGTTGGCTTGCAGAGGTGGTTTAATACTCCTTACCTCCCATTGCTTTAAAAAAATTATCAAGATTTGAGCTTTAAAAATGGAGCACTTCACTCCTTTCCATATCGATCAAGCATTCTGTACACCACTTCACTCCTAGTGTTTATATGTGTCAAATGTTTCCCCCTTATTTTGTTGCTAATATTCTCTCAATACTTTTGAGTTTCTGTACATAACTTCTGCTGCCATAGTGCCTGGTGTCAGGCACACTGGTTGTAAGAGGAGACACCATCGCTTCCCTTTTCCAGGACAAGGATCCTGCTACTTCAGCCTGGTGTCACCTGTATATGTTGTATTTCTTGTCCATTGCCATGTGTGGGTCTGTTTGTGCTTTTTTCTTTTTACTGTTTTTAACATCTGAAAAGCCTTTGCTTCAGGAAGAGCCTGCAGAGCAGTTATTTCATGCATTTGGTCGAGCTGCATCTGAATTTGTATTTCAGCTCAAATGAGAGGAAAAATATATGCAAGAAAGTTTGAAATGTTTCCAGACTTAATAAAATCACCTACTTACCTCTCTGAATGGCCCTAAATGTGTTTCAGCATCTGACAGATGGACAGGCTTGGTTGAGATGAATTAATTACTGTCTGTTACCGAAGTAGAGAAGAAAAACAAGCAAGTCAGTTTCTATATAAAAATTATTTAGTCATGTGCTTGTTTTATCAAGAATCTGATAGACTGTGGCTGTAATTGCCGTGGTATTCATCCACAGGAATTAATAATATGATTTTGACAACAAGGCATCATACTTAAATGACTGCTCCAGTTACACATTGCTGTCAAATAACTCAAGCCACAAACTCTTACTTTTGGAAGCTGAAAATAGCCTGACGTTACATAGTACTCATTTAAATCAGTATGCAAGGCAGCAAAAACATCTTCACCATTGAAGAATTGCCTTTAAAATATGACTTCCAAGAAGTTAGTCATGAAGTTGCTTTCTCAGATCTATACCTCTGTAATTATGCATGTCATTCAGACACACAGTGATTATTGCACTTCCCGTCACACCATCTATACATACATAATAGTCAATCACCTGCAAAGGTTTTAAAAATGGAAATGCATACCTAGTTGTTGAAACTTAAGCCTCAGCTCACATATTCTGCACATATTTGCTGGAGATATCTGTCCTGTTGGCATTGCATTTTTAGTATTCCGTGAATTCCAGGCTGAGATTAGAAAAAATTTTCATTTATTATTGACTCCCTTAAGTAAATTGTGTGTCTGTTTTTTTTGTTGTGAATGATTGAAAAGTGTGGAGAAACAAATGGATAATCAGATTGCCAATATGTGTGTAAAGCTACATAAAACACTGTTTTTTTGTTTTATTTTTAAAAAGGCAAATCCTTTGTGCGCGTGGTATATTAAGAGGCTAGTAAAATCTGATTTTAAAGGTACACATCTGTTACAGTTATTAACCAGTAATTTTCTCTAGCCTTAATTGTTCCTAGATCTTTTCTTACAATTGAATATTCACAATTTCAAGGGAAATTAAATATTAAAGTTAGTTTAGAAAACTTCCACTGTTTCTTTCTGTGCATGCTTGTGAATCAGCACATTTTGATTCTGACCTGTTCTAACAAACTCCTGTGTAGCTATGTATTAATGAAAAATAAAAATGTTGTCTTAGAAAGTATGGAGATAGGGCTGTACTAGACTTTGCATTTGAGCACTTTGGGCACTTAGGCTGTGATATATTCCTGTTACAGATCACTGCAAGAGACTACCTGTCTCTAGTTTTAGTCCAGAATGTGTGTTTACAACCACCCTCAACAGACTGGTGTCCTTAGGTTATGTTTCTTTACTAGTGGCCTCTTCCCACATTTGTAGTTCTGCCTCAATTTGTTATTTTTTTATTTAACCCTGTCAAGGTCAGAAGTGATGAACCAGCAAGAGGCTGTGAAGTGAATGCATTGCACACAAACAATTCTCATCACCTGCTGCTAAGTCCTCCTTTTCTCTAGTTCTATGTAGTGTTGCTGTTTCTGTCCTTTCTCATTAATGTGTGTCTGAGAGCATCTCAGCCACAGCTGTGTTTCTCTATTCTTGTCTTAAACTTGTGGTCTTTTCAGCAGTAGGTTGCTTAAATTTATCACTTGCTGCTGCAACAGCTAAGTCCAAACCTTCTTCACATCTTTTCCTGGGCTTTTCTCTTGTTTTACTGAAGAGGAACACCCTAGCCCTTGCCTATCCCTGTGCTAGGGAGTGACTATGTCATTCCCTCCAAAGGTTCAGCTCCGCACTTCCTTGTCCACTGGTCTAGCCAAGTTTCATGACTCACTTGCCTTTTTCCTTCCATCACCCACTCTCTTTTCTTTACCTCCACTCATGCATATTCCTGCTTTGACACTTGGTCTGTCCTGCTTAATCCTATTACTCGGTGCTCCTCCTTCATAGTTAACCCCATGTCTCATCCTCTGCTTGTATTGAGCTTGAAGATAAGCAGAGACTCAACAGCATGTGCTTGTTGGATGCCATTCGTCATTGTTTTGTTGTTTGGTTAGTCTCTGAGCTCCTTAGAGCAGAGCCTGTGTTTCTTCCTGTCTTTATGAAGTGATTCTTTGAACCTTACATAAATAATAATATCACATCATTAAACAGCCGTCTTTGCCACTTTTAATCTTTATTACTATCCAGTGTCCTATATTTCAAGTGATGCATCATGAGCTTGGATAGTAAGCCCTGCATTTAAAAACAAAAAACTACCTTTTCACCTTATATCTAGACATTCAGGGTTTTTTTTCTTTTAAAGAATATTTATGAGCAGCGGTGTGTAAGTACTTGGATGAATAGATAGCTGGACCTGGTTCTGCTCTAATGGTAATTTAGAAGCAGTGAAGGCAGCGAAGTCACGTTCCTTTTCCCTTCCTTCCCAGTAACAAATGCTGATGACTGATAGCTAATTCATTCCTCACCCAAGAGAGGTGAAATTCCTCCAAATGCATTTGTCTCTGCATCATAATGAATGTCATCACTCAGTTTGTCTTTCCTCACCTGCTGTATTTTCTCAGCAGTCCCACGGTACTGACTAGATGTTGGCTAAAGTACTGATCTGCATCATCAGACAATATTAAGGGTTAAGAGTTGGGTGGTATTACCGTGCAATAAATGATGTACCGTTCGCAGTCCTACTAGCTCTAAAAAAAGTAACAAAATGGCACTCTCCACATTTCAGAGTTCTCCAAGAGGGAGGAAAAATTACCCAGATTCTCCATTACCGATGCATAGACAGGAAAGAGCTGCTAAGTGAAAGCACTTTTTCTTTCCATGGAAATCTGCAGGCAGGTCATCAACATTTCCACAGGATCAAGGGCGTTTTATAAAACTTTGAAATACCAGTGTAGGATGCTCGTTCTTTGCCCAGGAGCTGGATGGGGGTCATTGACAACTGCAGGTTGTCACGCTCAAATCAGGTCATTGGCAAGGTCAAGGTCAGAGGCACCAACAAACTGGGAGACCTGGGGGGAGTTGGGAGATTTGCGGGAGGAGATGGGTCAGGCTGTAACAGGAGACCCAGACGTTTTTGATCAGTGTCACTGAAGTGCTGCATGGGCTTTGCTAGAGCTTTACATTAATCTCTGATTCTAAAATAGGCTTTTGTTGCTCTCTGCTCTTTTTGCAATTGGATGCAACATGCATTTTCTGCATTCTTCCCATGCTGCAGACCAAGAAGCTCATTTGATATTTTGAACTTCAGAATCTGCCTTCCATAGAAGCAGCCATGAATATTCATAGCAGTTGCATATGCTTTTAAGCTAGAGCTGTCCCAAAGGTGGGATGCTTTGTGTGCTGTTCTGTTGTTCTTCATATGCTGAGGTAGGTTTTGAGCCACCCCTCACACCCAGGAGAGTCTTAAATAATGGAAGTTTTTCAGTAAAGGAAAAAACCATCATAGCTTTGTGGTTGTACTGTATTGTCAGACTGTAATTTAAAAAGGAATTGGCAAACTATGTGTGTCCACCTATGGATTTGTCTAATGACTAAGACTAAATACAAATTGTCAATTGTGGAAGAGTTTTATCTCATCAAATAATTGTAATAGGACAATTCTGGCTGCATGCACACGCGTGTGATTCCCAAGTGTTTCGGAAGGAAACTTTGTGCCCATGGAAGAAGACTTTGGCTTATTAGCTGGGTTGCGGTGAGTGGAAAGTGTAGCTTTAACCGGAGAGTCTGTTGTAAGAGATTTCACTGTTGTGAATCCCCTCAGGTATTAGTGTTGTAAAGAGTGTAAAAAAGAACAGATGACAGAACGTTCCCTGTGAAAATGAATGGAGCTGGAATAAAAGCAATATGCTTTCTTTAAAAAAAAAAAAAAAAAAAAATTAATAAATTGTTTACAGTTGTGTGACTGATTCCTGGAGCTGTGAACATGCCAAAATTTGAAAATAATAGTGTTTGTGCTGAAAATTGTCTAATTCAAGTTTGTAAAAAACCGCTTCAAAAAGCAAACAAATGATATGTATGCAAGTATTGAAATAAAAGGTTTTGAAGAGTATTTTAACTTGGTGTCCCCAAGGAAAAGCAGACAGCCCCCATCAGATTGACACACTGCTTAATATTCCAAGCACATCTGTCACCAAGCACTGCAGAATTGCTGTGTTTAGGTTAAATGATCAACAGAAAACCTTTCTTCCTGTGGCTTCTTAAGTTTATTCAAAGAGAAACTGAAAAGCAGAGGGAAATCCCTTCAAGCACAATTGGAAAGAGATGGGATTTCCCTGTGTTAATTTGATGCTTTTTTGAACAAATGGAGATGTTACAAAAGAAAACTTGTTGCCTTTTTTTTAAAATGAGACATGATTATCATGGTGTGTCTAGTGATGCTTTTGAAATGTCTTTATCTAACATCTGTGCTACTCTAACGTGAGTATCTAGTGTGTAGTCTTCTAACCTGAAAAGTGTGTTAGTTCCCATCCTTCAAAATACCCGTATTCACTAGATGAACTTACTTTTTTCTCTGTTTTACCGATAGTGTGTCAAAGTGAAATACCTCTTGATACAAGTGGCATGGAGTGATGCCCAAACAGCAATTTCAGTCACAACTCTGAAATATGACAGTAAGGAAAGGGGAACAGAGAAAAGCTGAGGTTAGCATGAATACCAGATGGTACCACTCTTTTCTTAACTAGGTCCCATATGATGGACTGTATTTATTCCTCGTCTAGTTAGATGGATACACAAATTTTTAGAGCCTTAGATGGGAGGACTCTTTTAAACATTTTAATGCCGAAAGGATTTTATTCAAAATGAAAGAAAATACTAGTTCACAAAGGAGATTCCATGCATTGAGAATGGTTGAGCTTCAGATTAAACAAATTATCTTTTATTGCATCCATTTTTGAGGATTAGCTTTGTAGCTTTTTATTAAGGCCAGCTGGTCCGACATGGGTAAGAATAAGTCCTAGGCAGGCTGTGTTCACAAGCAGGAGTGTTTTACCATAAACAGGCCCAGCGGACAAGCCCTTGTATTACACAGATTATTGCAGATTACGTGACATCTTCTGGCATTTCAGATTTTCAGTTGCAAAAGGTGTAGACCTCCTACTTTGTTTTGAACGAAGCAGTGTGAAACAGCCCAGATTTGATGTTTCTGATCTTAGTGACAGTTTCAAGTGAGGTGGGAGCCGCCTCTCTTTTATCCTCTTCCAGTTGCTGTACAAAACGATATGGTTTGATACAAGCGTTTGCAATAGGAGGGAGGAGGCTACCTTGTACCAGCTGCTTCACATCTGTTCTTGTTGCATGTTTCTCTTGTTCTAGGGCGTGTTGGGCAAGCAGTAGCACTACGTGCCAAAGCCTTTGGCTTCAGTGTGATTTTCTATGACCCATACCTCTCAGATGGCATGGAGCGTGCTCTGGGACTGCAGCGGGTGAGCACTTTGCAGGACCTGCTGTTCCACAGTGACTGTGTTACCCTGCACTGCAACTTGAATGAACACAATCATCATCTTATTAACGACTTCACCATAAAACAGGTAATAATCTCTGTGGGCGCCCTCCACACCAGTGCTGGTGGCTGACACGGTGTAGCGTTCATTTATGTAAACAGGCAGATTCTCATTTGAAAGATATTTTTTTTTTCCCTTTCGCTGCTTTGAGATCAAGCAGGTTTATAACTGATTAGGAAGTAGCTGGTGGCTTATGTATTGTTGCTTTTATTGCCTTTTTTGCTCAGTAACATTGCATTTGTGGAAATAATTTGCTCTTCTTAATGTTGCTCAGGTTTAATAAAGTTCCATTAATGTAAAAATACTTTGTCTTCTAGTAGCTACTTCCTTTACCTGTGTATTTTCAGGTAGCAATACTGCCTTTCACTCTTGTTCCCCAGTTTGAATTCTTTAGATGCAATTTAAGGATTGTGACTAAATGGCTCCCTCCTGTGCTCAGTCCTGATGCTTGCAGAGCGCTTCATGGATGGATCACGTTTACAGCATTGCATGATTTGGAAAAATAATGTGTCTTGGAATTAGTACTAACCTCTCCCTAAAGTTTTAGGTAATATTAAAATAATTTCAAGATCTAGGTGTATTAACCACTCCATTATTGACTAATTCAATAGTAAGCTTTTTCATTAAATGTCTAGCTTCTGACTCCAGCCTCAGTGCAGATAACAAGAAATAGAACGTTGAGATGTAAGAATGTAGATAGTGTACAGGAAAGAAACTCCAAGATGTAATAGTTGATTTTTCTGTTCTTCATGTATGTAGTGTTTCTATGAGTTGGTAACAATGTCAGTAATATTCTTTTGCAGTAAAATCATTGCTTGGCTTCTGAGTAATAGTTTGCACCTATTACTCTTGAACTGAAGTAATTACTGATCGTGTTCCACAGTCATGTAGGACCATGGCAGATAACTGACAATATAACACACTTCTTGATCTGAGAGTTTAGGGATTTTGCAGATTCATCCCAACATAAAATCAGGGTTTGGGATTTAAGACTCTAAAAAAATTAAGAAGTGTAAAATCTCTAAGACAACGGAGCTCTGTCACCCTGCCTTGAACATTCTCTTTTGTTGTGTGCTCAGGTACATTTAATAGTTATTACGTGGTTAGATGTCTTTGCAAGCATACTTCTAGACCCAAACAGAATCACACACACTGAGTTCGGTGGGACTGTGTGGAGGCTTAGCAGTGGTCACTCATTATACAGCAGACTGTGAAACTTGGGGCAGTGTATCACAGGTAGTGTTTGAGTTGTGGTGGATAAATACAATGAGTTCTGGAGAGGGTCTTAGTGCATTAATCAGAGAAACAAACAAAACAGGTTAAAACTGCGTGATACCATCTGAAATGAAATGCATATTGTAAAATCTGTAGTGGAAGGGATATAGTAAGCATTTATCTCGCTATTTGTCATCCTTCATTATTGAAGCAAAGATTGAAATGTTAGAAAATAATTCTTGCTTTGGATAAAAGTTTGGATGAAACAGTCTGTATTGTAACAGCTGATGTGGCAGCCATAAAATTGTAACATTTTTGACTGCTTGGTTTGCGTAGAGCACATCTTCTGAATATGAATCATAAAGAGCAGAATAACTTTTTTTGGCTGCCAAATGTTAGAGTTGGCTTAAAATTTTTATAGAGCATTGTGTTTTCTCTGTTATTACGTGCTCATGGAATAACCAGTTTTTAAACATAGTACAGAGAGGTATGATGCACCTCATTTCACTGAAGTCTCACTCTAAATTTTGTTTAGAATCTGAAATTACACAACCTTAAAATGGCTTTGAAAATTTGGTGTCAGTCTTCTTTCAGTAGCTTTTCCCTTTAATTAGTCAGCATTCTGCCTAGCCTTCATGCTTGGCCTTGTAGTCCCAGAGAAGCTGAGAGAAGTGTTTCAAGCTTGTGTTCATTGAACCCATGGTAATCAAGTGCTCTTAAGAGAAGCTGAGGTCATCTTTAGTTTTGCAGACTTGAGAAGATGACGCTCCGTTTGAACGCAATATGTTTTTAAAGCAGCTGTGCAGGTTTAGTATAGGTGAATTTAACAGCTGTCATCAGTTCTAGCTGTGAAGCTCTTTCAAACTTCCACCCATTGTTAAGGGTCATCTCCAGCTGCATCCACCCTTATGGCTGATCATGAGTCACGTAATTCATTCCCACTAGAATGCAGTTACGCAGCCATGTGCTGTTTGATTTGGACTTGTCTTGGTACTGGCTTTAGAGTTCTGTAAATAGTCCTAAAATGAAAAGTCAAGCAATGCTATTAAGGTTGAACAGAAGATTTTAGCAGGGTTCACTTTAATTAAAATTTTTAAGTCCTTCAATGGGCATATAAATACACTAGGCTGTACTTAAGACTCAAATTAGCTATTTGCAAGAGCATAGAAATAGGAAGGGTGTACAAGCTCCCACGAGCCTATATGGCGTGTCTGCACACAAAGTGTGATTGTAGCTTGGGTGAGCCCTCCTGTGCTGGTTTGGATCCAGTTCTCACAGCTGACAAGTAGTGGAGATGCAGTGATGGTTCCCATCAGGAACATCTTGTTGTTAATAGATCAGCTTAAGGTCATGCCACCATTTCTTCATTGTTCTAGTTCCCAGGTTGATTACATAAAACTAAAAGAAGTATCCCTTAGTTCTGCTCCCGTAAGTGGACTTTGGTTTTGCTGTACAGACCAGTAGATGGTTCTCCTGTAAGCCCAAGAGTCTGCACATGGAGAGAGGCAGGGCCACACTAAACCTAGTGAGTACCTAGGCCAATAAAATATGGTTGTAAGGTTTTTTTTTTTCCCTTATAACCTTACTGCAAGCATATGTATGTTAATTGCTTAATATTTCCTATGATCTCATGTAAAAAAAATACTCACAGATGACTTTCGTCCAAACCTCCTTGTTCATGAATTTGGTATTTTGAGTCAGTCTTTCAGAGTAAGGATCCATTTACTTAAGCTTTAGTTTGATGTGTGGATTTCAAGTATTTGACTTGGTGTCAAAATATTGGGGTTTTCTTGTTCTTATGGTGAGAGATGGACTCAATACAAAACGAGTTTTTTATCATTCATCGTCACTATGGTTCCTGCTCTTCATATGCTTAGCTTCGTGCACAGAGGTGCTTCCGAGATCAGAAGCTGTGTTTGAGACATCTGGTAAAAGATGAAGTATTAGGGTGGCTGGAAGCAGGATGTAGTATATTTTTTTTTTTCCTGTACCATCTCACTTATTTAAGCGCTGCTTTGTTTTTCGTGTTGTGGATATATTATGGTCTAAATTCTTGTAGTTCTCCCCACACAGTGTCATCTACAATGCTAATCTGCACAATGCACAGCACAGCTTCTCTCCTGGGCACACAGCATTCTCAACCAAATTCATTTTCATGCCTTTTAATTGAATAATATACGAATTCTTTAGACCTTTATTTGGAAAGTCTCACAGGGAGGAGGAAGCTGAAGTAACAAAAATAAATAAAACATCAACCTACTGTGTTTTTGCAACTACAGGGAAAAGTGTTTGAAAATCCAAAAGCATTGATTTTTCTGAAAAATTCATGTAGGCCTTTATTTGTGTGAAAGTCAAAAACCACAAAATATGAATTTGTATAAGAATGTGCTGTAGTTTCTGTCTCATGCAATTTCACAGTGAAATAAAAAGGCATAAAATGATCTGTCACTTTCTTATGCACAGTTGTATCTTTTGATCATGTTACTGCACGATATCTGAAACGCTTCTGTTAAAAGACACTACTTACAAGAAACAAAAGGTTATTAAGTGCTGTGAAATAGCATTTTATGTTAGAAGCATCACATTTTGTGGTACTTTCCAATGGAAAGGGAAGACAACTGTTACGGGTTAAACCAGCTGAATAGCCTTTATTGTAATGGATGCTTCTTTTGAGTAAAAAAATAATGCCACAACGATTTTATTTCATTTATTTTTATTTCATCATTCTTGTTTTTAACTTTCCCTAGATGAGACAAGGGGCTTTCCTGGTCAACACAGCTCGAGGTGGGTTAGTAGACGAAAAAGCACTTGCACAGGCCCTGAAGGAAGGAAGGATACGAGGGGCAGCCTTAGATGTACATGAGTCAGAACCATTCAGGTGCTTTTCCTTTTCTTTTCTTTTTATTTTGTTCACTTTCTTATTTTTAAGTCTTAGTGCATGATACAATCAACAGCAACAAGTAAACTGAGTTTTCCCTTCATTTGGTAGATGAATACTCCTTAGTAAAGCAACATGAATCTGTGCAGCACTGGACTAATGCAAATGTAGATGGAGCTTGTGTGTGTGGTCCAAAGTGAAAAAAAAGTGATATCCAAGATTTAATTCCTCAAAAAAAAAAAAAAAAGTGTCCAATGAGTTTATTTAGCAGAAATAGCAGACTTGGGTTCAGATCCTGGGCATGGCTTGGTGTCGTGGCTTTGAGGGGAGCTTTCCTTTGTCATTGGTGCAACTCTGGAGGCAACTAGTGTTGATGTCTGAACAGACTCTTTCAGAAGGCAAAAAGTTGATTTGATGTGAGAAATAACTACTTTCTGACACTTTTCTGGAGGAAAAGACATGCTTTTGTCCAGTTCGCCTCTGCAGGAAAGCCATAAGTGTAACAGGTTGCAAAAAAAGATGAGGAAGGTGGTCAGAGTGCAGGTTTTGTTTTGGTTTACCCTTTTTCAGGGAAGCAGTAACTGTTGTCATTAGTAGAGCTGGCAGCACAAGCCTTAGTTTTTGAATGACGCTGAGAAGCCCAGCATTTTAGGCAGAAATGTAACGCTCCCCACAGTGGCATCAGCACTCGTAATCAGAAACCGAGCCTATTTTATGTCCTTGAGGCTTGGGCCTGACTTAGAATTGTGAGAATAGATGCTGCAACTTAGTGCTTGTATGTGACAAGCCCTTTTCCGTTGTTCAGTCTGGGCAGGGAGAAATGTTCACTTTAACTGGAACAATCCACATAAGTTCTGGAAGAGGAACAGCTTCGGGACTTCAGGACAGGTTTTTAAGACTGGAGAGACGACAGTCTCTCTTGTATCAGCTTGAGGGGGGAAGTAGAAGCTTAAAAAAATAGAATAGGATCCTTTTAGGTAGAATTTTTATATCTACTGAGGCACAATGCCACATCACAAATATTTAATTTTATTTATGCATACCCTGCATTCATTTGCTTCTAAATGTAGTCATTACAATGCAGTAGTGCTGTGCAAAGCCAGAGTCTAACAGCTCAGGGGACTTTCAGCTACATACATTCTTCCCAATTCAGATCTCAGATCTGCACAAGCAGACCGTTGCACCTCTAGGAAGCCCCATTTACTGCATAGAGATGCCATCTGCAGAGATTCAGTTGCAGGATTACAGCCACAATTTCCTTTGGCTTCAGTGCTGCATGTCTATCTGATCGCAGCATGCAACTCTTTATGCAAGAGTTTTGCCAGATATTCTGATGTGTATTGAACTACAGATGAAATATGTCATTTTATGAATTATGACAAACTCTGAAAGCACGCTTTTGTCTTAAAATATTTGTTTTCCTGTTGTTACAATTGGCTGTAAGATTATTAAAACTGGAAATAAATAGGAGGAACAAGTTTCCGTTATTTCCAGTTTCTTTACTCGGTATCTGTGATAGCACTTCTACACAGATTTATTGCTTTCCCTGAAAATCAATCTGTAAAGTAAATTTCCTTCTTTCTGTGGAGTTTCTATAAAGGAACAGGAAAGAAAAAATAGTTTAAAAAAGTTGAGGCTGCTGATGGACACACTTCTTACTTGGAAATAATTGTAAGATTTTTTTCTTTAAGTGACTAAATGTCACATTGACAGTGACTCTTGAGAAAACAGAGCTTTCTTGACTAGTGCAGTAAAAGTAAAAATGTGATGAAATGGACAGATGGAATGGCATCCTGAATTGATTTGGGTCTTGCTTTATGCATTTCTGCAGCAGAACTGGAGTAGCAGTGGCTGTAGTTACCAGTAAGTGCATTGGACAGAAGCTAATGTTAATGTTGCACCTATACTTAGGTTCTGCCCTTTGAGTCTATGTGAGGTGATTATTGCTTATTTGTACCATGAACAGTGTATTAAATTAACTGACAGAATTAAAAACAAACCCAGCAAGGAATAGAAGTGCAATTCTTTTTTGTTGTAGAAATTAATCTGTTTATCTGGATCACCCCCCTTCTCCCCTTCCTCCTTCCCCTCCCCCCTTCAATATTTTTGGTGATTTGATCTTGTTTTAAATCTTCATTTAGCTTTAGTCAGGGCCCCTTGAAGGATGCACCAAACCTGATCTGTACGCCACATGCAGCTTGGTATAGTGAACAAGCCTCAATTGAGATGCGGGAGGAAGCAGCACGAGAGATCCGAAGGGCGATCACAGGTACTAACTCACCTTGTTAGCTCCTTCACTGCATATTTCTTTTTAATAAAATTTTTCATTCTTCAGTCTTGAAAGATGCTGAAAAGAACCAGCCTTTAGGTTTTGTTTAACCACTTCTAATACAGAAACAAAGAAATACCCACTAAATCTGTTCTCAGAACTGGAGCAGATCATTTTGGAGGTCCATTGCAGTTACAGAGAAGGCAGGCACTGCGAAATAAGTACTTTGTCCTTATAACAGAAATGTACTTATATGTAAAAATTGTTACTTTCTTTTTTTGCTTGTCTACATTACCCATTTGGTGGGTTGGACTGCAAGTCATCCAGATATTGCTGCTATCTTTCATAGGTTTTCCTAGATGCCCCCTTATACTTGTCATGAGGAGAGAGGCCACTCTTGGTCGGGGAGTGTAGTGATAGAACGAGGGAAAGGGTTTTAAGCTGAGAGAGGGGAGATTTAGATTAGATATTAGGAAGAAATTCTTTACCATCAGGGTTGTAAGACAGTGGACCAGGCTGCCCAGAGAAGCTGTGGATGCCCCATCCCTGGAGGGGTTCAAGGCCAGGCTGGTTGAGGCTTTGAGCAACCTGGGCTAGTGGGAGGTGTCCCTGCCCATGGAGTTGGAGCTCAGTGATCTTGAAGGTCCCTTCCAACCCAAGCCATTTTATGATTCCGTGATTCTTTTCTCTTTGGTTCCTTTGTATTTTCTAAAGTACATCCAAATTGTCTTAGAGGACAGTCTGGAATTTCAGTGTCTTTGAGGCTGTAACATTCAGAGTTAAAGCATCTAGAGCTTCATGCTGTTCCTAGTAGTGCTCACATCTCAACAACTCATTGTCTGCATCAAAACAGAGTTTTCAGTATTCTGTTGGGAGAATACTGTATTTTAGATGTTCCTGTCTTTAAAGCATTGCTAAAGAACTCTGGCATTTTGAAGAGCAAAGTCTCTTTGTTATATAACTACCATGTAATTATAAACTGTTCACATAAGAGAAAACAGTTATGTCTTGAACATGCACTGCTAATGAGTAAAATGAGAAGAGTGAGCCATTTGGCATTGGTTTGAATCCCTTGTAGCCTAAATAAAAGGAAGGATTTTCATACTGGAAAATGATTCATTAAGCACTAATGTTCTCTTTTTAGTAGGACTTTGCTGTTTCCCCCCCGGCGATATAGACTGAATGCTCTGCAGACATGAAGGGCCATCTGTGTCACCTTGAGAGTAGTTCAGTGCCAGCACATTGCTCTGCCGTACAAAAAGCACTAGCAGTAGCCTGTCCTAGAGACGCTGGGCAACGTAGTTTCATTTATAGTCTGTGCAGAAAGAGGATTCTCCTCTAGATGGTGATTAAAGGTGCCTTTTAACTCCTGATCTGAATTGCCCTTTCCAGGATTATTTCTCTCTGTTTTAGAGGTAACCTGAAGAGTCCCTTGGCTGGAAATGGTCCCTGTGCTTATACTCCAGGAGAACTCTAATAGTACATTCATTAAGTTGTTGTGCAACTATTACCTGCTCCCAAATAGCTCTGGGAGCGATTGCGCAAACCAGCATACGATACCTGTTTGAGTGATGATTGATGTGCAAGTAAGCGTTGGTAGGCTAAGATCTGAAAACTGAATAAGAGTCAAATATGCAGAGCTAGGCTTATGTTAAATATTGTGCAATAGCCCAAACATATGTGCCTAGGAAGACAGACCGATATTTTCTTCAAGTTTGTGATTGTGCTATCAGCAATCTAAATAATTGATTTGTCTTGAAGCTGTCAGCACTTCAGTGTTTGCACATGGTTTGTAGTAAGATCAAACTGAGGCCAACAGTAGGGAGGTGAGAATGACATTCAATTGCAGTGAAACAAATGCAGGAAAGATACAGGAAGTGTGGGATAAAGCTGGGTATGTGAAAGCCACAGAGGAGAAAGGGTGTAGAGAGAGAAACTAATTGGAAAAAGGTTTACAATGAAGGAATGCATCTGACAATAGAGAAGTTAAGTTGTTCTGCTGTTCCAGAAAACAGCATTCTGCTGTATGAAATAAAAATAATGAGCAAAGATGAAATATTGAATATATTTTTGAACATCAAAACATTAGCAATATTACATAAGGAAGACTGCTGAAAACAGTAATGGAAGAAATGAGAAGGCAGGTGTGGCGAGTGAAAGGATAATTATGAAATAAGTTTAACATAAATAAATACTCTTTTGTAAGAGTAAACTAGTAGAACATGCCTACAGAGGCTAGCAAATACTTATAACTGTTTTTAACATAGATACATTGAGAGCATAAGGCACATAATTTTTTATTTCCTTTCCCTCCCTTCGTCCTAGGTCGTATTCCAGACAGTCTGAAAAACTGTGTTAACAAAGATCATTTGACCGCAGCTACACATTGGGCCAGCATGGATCCCGCAGTTGTTCATCCAGAGCTTAATGGTGCTGCATACAGGTAAGCCTGCTGCAGGTGTAAAAGAAATACCTTCCTAATTCAGAGGTAAGTATTCCAGAATAAATGAAAGACCTTCCTATTAATAAATGAAGCGGGTTTGGATTAGGCCCCAGCTATATTGTTTTCATAATTGTTGTGTTCAGGAGCATGATCTTGTTTTGCTAGTTGAAGTCAGTCACGAGGTGCATAAGTTAATTTCTTTTTCTTATCTTTTTTATGTGGTTAGTAATAACTGAACAATATACAGTTTTTTGTATATTCCAGTAAAACGATTCTGGTCATTGCAGTCAGTGCAGTGGAGGTTTGTGTGTACCTTTTGCTGAAGGTGGGGATAGAGCAGTAGGTTACAGAAAGACTTGCAGTAATAAACTCTTGTTACTTGGTTTTGTGGCTTCCAGACACACGAGAAAACAAATAAATCAGTAGTGAATGCAGTGGAATAGCCTGTGGTGATTATGAAAATATGTTTTAAATAGTGTTTTCTAAATTATATGTTTAATTTTTAAGCAAAAGCATTTGAGAGACTTGATCTATGTATTCTCAATCAACTGTAAGAACAGCTCTTAATAATTAATAGAAAGGGTCGATTCTTTTACATCTAATATGTACGTTCCTTAGTTACTTTGTTTGCTTGAGAGTCTTTCTCTGTTGTTTTATTCCCAGCAGCTGTTCTAGCAGCAGATTTTTCCTAGTAGCCAGTTTCACACAATTACTATTTGTGAAACACATGTGCAATTTTTTTATCTCCCAGTATGGTATTTACTCATAAGTAGGATGAAAGTGGCTGAGAAAGCTACAAACAACTGCTTCCCTCAATGCCTTGAGTGAAGGGACAGTGTGGTCTTCTCATTATTTTTTTTACCTCTTTATACTAATCTTTCTGCTGTCCTCCTTCATACATCTTCCTTACCTTTGTCTTTCTAGAGGAGAGCTACCCCATACTTTTAATATATAGGGGATTTTTTTGTATATGAGTTTCCCCGTATGAGAACCCAGCTGTACAGTCTCATCAGAAAGTGATGGACAGATGACACAGAGGAGCATCACCCCCCTCTGTCATACTCTTCTTACCAGTAGCAATAAGTGCACCAAAGGAAAAGAGTAACTTTGATTTGATCAACATGCGTAATATCTCACATCACGTCAGGATGTGTATTTTTGTAAAAAGTAGCCGTAGCCCTGAATATCTGAAGAAGGGTGGTTTTATTTGCTTAAATGGAAAGTTGAAGCACATGTGTTCTCTTCCACACAGTGTGTGGTTTCGTTGACTTCAGTTTGGAGTACTCAGGGTTAGCTGAACGCGGTTGAGGCGTAGAGGCAGGTGTTGCTGAGTGGGGGGTGAGAACTCCAACCCTGTCATGGCAGTTAGGAACAGGGTTGCGTGCCCAAATAAAATGCAGTTGTTTGCTCTCATTTTGGGGGTCACAAGTCCAGTAGAAGCAGGCTTCACGGCTAGAAATGGATTTTAACTTAGGAATGTTTTAGGAGTTAATGATTTACAAGATAAAGACCATATGTATTTAATTTAAGCGGGATAAGCACAGAACTGAATGCCTTTTTTTAGACATTGTTTCAATCCGTTTTTTCAATGAAGAAAATAATAAATAAATTCTGACTTCACAATTATTTGCAAATGCAAAACAAAACTCAGTTCGGGAATTTTGAGGAAGGAGTTAAGAGTAATAGAACAAATATTAAAAGCTGCTTTTTGGAGGGGTGATAGAATAGTGTTTGAATGTGGGCAAAGGCAGATATTATTTTGTGCAGTATAAAATATGTGGAACGTGAAGCTCAGGCTTTATGAAGAAATTGGTTTCAGTAGCAGTATTTCCTGATGCTTAATTCCTACCTGGATTAAGTACAGAATTTGAATTGATTGTTCAAAACAATTTTTTCTGTCTTCTCTTTGCAATCCAGGATTACATTCAACTAGCTGAGTTCTGGAGTCTGTCACAGGCAGTATGATGTTTCAGATGTGCTAATAACTGTATCATAGCCATGTAATTGCATTAGAAGATAAGAGCTGGGATAATAATTTATATGTTAAAAAATGCAAATAGCTCTTTCGGTGAACTAAAGCTAATGAGGCTATTTCATTCTGGATATACCATTTACTTGTATTTTGATGTAGGACAGAACTCTTAAATTATCAGATATTATCTCAAGCAGAGAACATCGAGCATTAATCAGCAGAGTATAATCTAGATTTTCTGAATATCAGCGTGGTCTGTGGAGAACAAAACCATTTACTATGTGAAATGCAAGATGCTCTGTCAACACAAAAGGTCAAGCAAACGGGACCTATCCCATGAGTAAAGATTAACAATATTCCTGGGAAGGAACTGTTTGTAATAGTCTTGGCGAAGCAGCATAATAAACCCTGCTTTTGTGTTATTACTGTGTATTTGTTACTGAGCTGCCTGTTAAATAACCCCTGCCATTTCCTCTGCCACAGAGCATGCAGGTTATGGGCAAAGTGAAATTTGGCAGCCAGTAAACCATGATTGTGCAATTTAGAGACATGTTGACATATCTCTCTGCCTTCTCACAGGTAGAAGATGAGAATATCTAGGTACTGAAGAGGTACTTGGACAAGAATAGTTAGATGTTGGTAACTGAGGAGTTGTTTCATGTGCAGATATTTCACTGGTGATTTTCAGACTCTGTAAGATAACAGCATGCACTTAAATTTTTCATCTCTTTTGGGACATGCTCAGTTTCTTGAACAGAGCTTAACATAGTGAGTTCAAGGTGCTTCTGTAGTTTAAAGAATACAGGAGATTAACATAGGAATTGGAGTTACCTTTCAGTTGTAATTAAGAGGGCTACTGTAATTTTCCTTATAAATTGAGACTGTATGGGGGAAGGGAAATGAAGAATATAAAGTAGTAGAGTAGGTGTAACGAATCTCTTGCTTCTGTTTTCACAAAAAATTAATTCAGTGGAAATTTTACCTCTTATTGCTACCAGGGGAGGAAGATCGGGAGTAACTTTATGAAGCACTGGAGGGAATGTATTTGCTGGTTAAGAATAGAAAAGCAATAAATAGCAACATAAGGGGAGGTTGAGTAGGATAGAAATGCCCACGTGTAGAGGCTGTTGAGTTCATACATCCTCCTTTCAGAGATACGATTTAAACACTGATGATTGAATTTAAAAGGGGCAAAAATTATGAAAAGGACATGGCAAAATAGGGTTAGGTTAGTTGTCAAGCAAAATACGGTTTCTGTAGAGAGGGGTATGCTGTCTGTATTTTGTCTACTACTACTGTGTAGCTTCAGGGCAAGAAAAACTATTGTAGAGCTTTTGGAGGTTACTGAAAGTCTGTGGGAAGCCTGTGTCTGAGGAGGGGGGATGGCAGGTAAAATCCCAGTTACTATAGCTTGGTGTCCAAGGGGAATATTTTTTATATACAGAAGGAATATTTGGAACCATGGAGAATTACAGATGTGTAGTTCAAAGGGCTTACAGTGCTCATAAGGTGACTGTTAATGCTCCTGATCCAGCACTGTCCGTTTTCACAAGCAGAGGCTCTGGCTTTTCTTCCAGAGGGAAACATAGTTGTAGAATTGGCTCTTCTTGATTCTCCCAGCTCTGGTGTGTTGATGCTGAAATAATTGCTGTGTTGGGCTTCTAAGTGGAAGTTTTTGTCATTTCAAGTTGTTTTTTTTACAAAGCACCTCAAGTAACAGATAAGCTGTTCTAGAATTTAATCTGAATAAATAAAACAATACCCAGTCTGACAGTTTCCATAGGAATTGAAGCAAATTTGATTAATAAGATTCAAATTGAGGTACTGAAACAAGCAACTAATTCCATTAGTAACTGCAAATTAATTCTAAGGATCCTCTCTGGAGAAGGAATTAGCATAGGAAGCCCTGTAAGTATGTGTCCAATTGGGAACAAAGTTCTCTGGCCTACGGGTGGTGGGATCTTTGACATACTGGTCATCCATCCCAGGTTACAGTCAGTGATCTGCAGGAACCTTTCCCAGTAGGACCAGGCCAGTGTGGATGTGCTTTCATCCAGCTTGTTTCATCCTCTGAGTTTTCCATAAGTTCTGCACTAATTTTCTGTCAGTTCGAGGGAACGTAGGATGAGCTACGCAAACATGCATTCTTTAGAAAAGATGCTGCTGAAATGGGGAGAAATTCCGTGATGCATTCAGCGTTGGAACTCTGATGAGGAGAAGATCAACAGCAGAACAATGTGACGTTTGAAAAAGCTCAACTAGACTACAATCGCCTTTTCTTCCATTTAATTCAAAGCAAGTACTCAGGTAGCAAATGCCCCAGTGAGTAAGCGGTAGGTTTGTGTGTTTAGGCTTTAAAGTGGGTAACGCTTTCGCAAGGATGCTTCTTGATGAGCAGAATAGAGCAGGATAGGAGGAGGGATGAGTGTGCAGCATTATGATGGGGGGAGCAAAGGGGCAGTGTACGTGGCCAGCCTGAGATAACTTGCAAATTGGGTACTTGGCTAAAAAGAAAACTTATTTTCATTAAAACTATTCATGTGTACCCATTGTTTATGTACAGCACTGTGAAATACCAGTGTTCGTCTGAACTTAGGGACTGGAACAGTACATTTACAAAATTTTTTTAAGCCTGATAATATCGGAGTCGTCATAAAATCAAGCTGAGTCAGAGGGTGACTTTTTGTTGGAATTTGTAAAATATTTAGGCCTCAGTATTCATCCAGGAGGGGTAACAAATCTTTAAAACCATCCATAGGATTTTGGTTTTGCATCTCTGTTTCTTGCACTCTCCTTAAAGCACTTTCCCTGTGTAAGCAGTACTGGTTCTCTTTCGAACAAGTACAGTGGCAAGTTTGATGCTGAAAAAGTTACTTGGGTGTAATAGGCTTGAATTTGTCATCTGAAGAGTGTGTGGGTATGCTCCATCTTCTGGGGGCTATCAGAAAGGTATGACTGCAAGATTAGCTTAAAGACATGTTTTTTCAAACCACAACAATGACATTTTAAAATTTCTACATGAGAATGAAAGAGAAAAAAAAAAAATCCACAAAGGTCAACTTGAGGAAAAGTCCTGGAGGACAGAGAGGTGTTGCACAGACGTAGCCTGAGTTACTTCTTGTTGAGGTGTACTTTGAGAGGAGCAATACTTCCAGGTTGTTTCAGTTGCTGTGCTGTCAGTCATGCTATTAAATCTGATAGCTGAAGAAACAATCTAGCAAAACTTTATTTCTCATTTGTGTAAAATACAGTATCTTTTGTTTTACTTAGCAGCATCGCATATGGTGACTCATCCGGAGCTTAACCAACTTTCTGATGGGTTTGAAAACAAAAGAAGCATCTCTGTAGCTCTAGAAGGAGGCAAGGTGGACTTCATGTCAGTCATCTCTTGGTTTTAATGGATGCTCTTGTTCTATTCTCTCAGCAGGTATCCCCCAGGCGTTGTAAGCGTGGCTTCAACTGGCATACCTGCAGCAGTAGAAGGAATAGTCCCCAACCCCATGTCTTTATCACACGGCCTCCCTGCTGTAGCCCACCCGCCCCATGCTCCTTCCCCCGGCCAAACTGTCAAACCAGAAGCTGATAGAGACCACCCAAGCGACCAATTGTAGCCTACGAAAACAGCATTCCCATCATCGGCGATTTCAACTTCAGCGTGTGGAAAACAAACAAACAAAACCCTGGATTTTGATTTAAGGCAAAACCATGAACTTACAGGAGGAGACGATTATTGTTTTAGAAACTGGTCCAATATACAGTATAAAAGGAAAAGGTGGGAGACAAAAAGAAGATTTGGAAAGATTTTTTTCCTCCGTATAAATTGTAGTTTGTCCCTGTCCAGTGGACTGATTCACTGTTTCTGTGTCCTATGGGTTCTTTGTTAAGCAAAAGAAGTTAGTAGTTAATTATATCATGAATGTACTTGTCTGTGTACAGTTTTTAGAACATTAAAAAGGGTTTGTTTGCTTAGCTGTCAACAAGGAAAAACATAAGGGAGGCATTCAACAAACCAATTTTGAGATTAACAATCCTTTCTTTTATATTTTAAAACATGCCCAAAAGTGAGGCAGTTGGCAAACTTCTCAGGACAATGAATTTTTCCCATTTTTCTTTCTACGCCACACAGTGCATTGTTTTTTCTACCTGCTTGTCTTATTTTTTAGAATAATTTAGTAAACAAAAGAAAAACAGTTTCTCCTAATTTTGGCATGAATTCCCTTATTTCAAAATGAAGACAACCTTGCAAAGAGATTTTGAGGAAAAATAAAGGTTTTGTATAAACGAGCATTGTGCTTTTTGTCACCAGTTAAAGTATATATTATTGGTGGTATGCGAAAAAGGCACTAGACTACTGAAAAGTAGCAGCATTTCATTGCCTACATTGATTCCTTCCTGGTAATGTAGTAGGCTAGCAATATTTTTTGGTTAAAATCATGTTTGTGACTGTAACCATTTGTATGAATTATTTTAAAGAAATAAAAATCCCAGACAAATGTCATACGTGTAAAAATTTTTCTTTCTAGTAACTGTTTATTCAACTTTTATTAGGTTTCTTAGCTGTAATTTTTAAACAGACGCTGTCAAGTATTTCATTTCTAGCTTTACTTTGCTCTCTGTTGTTTGTAATACTGTCTTGGAAGCTTGAAAAATAAAAAAAAAAAAATTCTTTCCATACCATTTTTCCCTTTACATTTCGTAAATGTTGATCTTTTTTCCTGTGTTTCTAATGGAGTTTGAAATTAAGATGGATTTTGATTTGTACACCGGCATCATCAGCTGCAATATGGTAACAGCATTTATGCCACCACTGTGGACAGAGCAGAGGAGGTACAACAGCAACACAACAATAATAATAATAAATGTCTTTTGCCGAAGTCCAACATGAGAAGTGTCCATTGTTTTATTTGCTTTTGTGATGATAGAAGAGTGCAGCAGGATGTAATTGTATTTGCTGTATTAAAGGAGTTTGTTTCTTTGAACACAGGCAGAAGTGTTTTCAAGGCAGGCTGGATTTCAGCTGGAAGCAGTTTTGACCTTTCCTGTGCTCCTGGATAAGATGTCCTTCATCCCTACGCAGTTTAAAAAGGCAAGAAAAAAGTTTAGCTGCTGGAGAAGAAAATCCAGGATGGGCAAAAGTGAACCTGGACGTAAACCTTCTCGGCGGTCTCTTATTTGTTCACTATTAATCTGAGCTAGTAATTGTGCACCCAAGGTTAGTGAGCTGTTTTTATGGGATCTATGGAAAGTTACTCTCCCCCTTCCTGAATTCTGCAGAGCAGCCTCCACTCCTGTTGGAAAAATGTTAGGAGACTGCAAGTCAAGAGAGACTGAAACTTGCAGGTCTGTACCCAAGGATCACTATGTAAAGGGGAATTTTGTCTCCATGGAGGAGTGGAAAGTTTTTGCCTTGAACATAAAGAGTCAAGAATGTAATCCATTACAATTTATTTGATGGTAAAACCATTCCCATTCCCTCCATGAAACAAAACAGAGAACAGCACTAAACCTGCCAGTTATCCCAGGAAAGACACTTCCAACAGCTTTGTGGCCAAGAAAACCAAATGCTGTCTGCTGCAGTTGAGGTAGGATTTAATATTTCATTGGTAATTCATGTTTTTAGATGCTTCTTTGTCAGGCTAAAGATACTTCTTTAACATATGTAAAACAAACATTTAACATCTGGCGGCAAAGAATCACCGACAGTCTCATTTGCAACCAAATTTCCCGAGGAAAACCAAGATGGTGTTTTGTTTTTTTTTTTTTTCCCTTCTCTTGCATCAGTTTGGATGCGATGTATGTAAGTAAGCTTTGTTTCCAGTGAATCAATAAATTGATGAACTAGACGTGAAGGCACCAGGATTTACTGCATGCGCTTCTCGGGCTTGGTTCTGAACCTTGCTGTCCTTCAGCTGCAGGTTTTTGAGCTGCTACCTGTGCTTGCTCAGGCACAGCTTTTTCAAGATTTGAGCTTGAAATACTGTACTGATGGGTGCGATAGGGCATTGCTGTTGTAGTGGGAACACGTTCAATATTTTTGTCCTAGTGCTTGAAATATATCTGTCCTTCTGACTGCTGGAGAGTAAGCCAGTTTCCTGCTTCTATTGGAGCAGAAAGGAAAAAGGCAGTGATGGGTACTGACTTCTGGGTTTTGGTCTCAAAAGCTGAATTAAATTTTTTTTTAAAAAAAAAGCTTGGATTAAATGACTAATTGTACCATAATAAACAAACGCTGCTATGCCAGACTAACCGTAAATCTTCTATGACTGCTTTTGTTGGTTAGTGGAAATATGATTAGATTTCCTCCGTCTGGTAAAGGATGTGCTAAATAAAGTTTAGACAGAAGAAGATGCAATTAGTGGGAAAATATGAAGTGGGGAAGGCAACAGCAGCGGAGGGCCACAGCTGCCCTGAGGCAATGTTGAAAGGTGGAAGAGGAGGTAATCAAAGTGCCTGCCTCAATAGTCAGGATTTTTTTGGGTGGTGTTATTTGAATTAAGGATCTTGGCCAAGAAGGAGGCCAACTGCTGAAACTGCTCCTGGCTCAAAGATTGTCGGCATCACCCGTGTGCAGGAGGCTCTGGAGCCCACACAGGAGTTTGATGGTATCAGGCGATGGGCTGTTGGAAGCAGAGAGAGACCAGTTGTGCAAATGAAAAGTCAAGTACTTGCAAGTCAAAACAAAAACTTGTCAGAAAAAAGAGCCATAAGCCATTTCGCGTGGTCGGAGTGATTGATTGATTGCTGTGGTGGGGCAGCTGTGGAAAAGAGGAGTTTGATGGCAGATGTGTCTGGCACAGTGTTATCGGTAGGGATGAGAATGGATCAGAGATCCTACACGGGACCTGGAGCGTTTGGTGTGTAGCTTTGGTCGTGCATTTTCAAAAGGGTGAGCTCGAGCTGAAGTCAGCAAAGACCAGCTCTCAAAACGAATAAAGATGTGAAGGGTTTGTCATGTGAGAGGAAATTAGAGTAACTTGGGGTTTTCAGCTTGAAGTGAAGGCTGAGGTGGGGTGATGACTGTAAGTAGTAAATGCTGAGGAGGAAGGAGAAATGTTACAGAAATGCTTTAGCATGAACAGGCATCAATGGGGGTTAGGAAAAGATCTTTGGCAGCAGGGAGGTCCTGGGACAGGCTTCCTGTTGGGGTGACTGCGAGTCAGTCCTGGAGTCCCTGCAGTTTGGATTGGGGTTCTTGTTTTGATTTCAGTTTGGGGGATTTGTTTGTGGGTTTTTTTCATAACGTGGTTTTTACAATCCAGAATGTGAGAACGCTGTTCAAAGGTCGTACAAGGTTATTGCCAAACCAACGAGAGGCCTTTTCCATGCGGCGTAAAACACTTCTGCTTCCTTTATAACAAGCCTCAAGGCTTTTTCCTCTAGTATGTTTTTTTTGAGAAAATGCCCTATTATTTTCTTGTCCAGCCTTCCACCTCAGATGATTAAGGCTGGCTTTCCAAATGACTGTGACTGCTGTAGGCTGGCTGTTACCAGCTTACTCCTTGTCTCAGACCGAAGACTTTTCTTCTCCTCTTCTTTAATCTCAGTCTGTGCTTCAATAATGTCACTTGTTCTGTTTGAAGGAGAAGGCAGCACTGCCAGCATTGCCTTTATTCAGTTCACGCCAACCTTTCTACCTTTTGTAAATTGAAAAAAAAACAAAAAAAACCCAAACCTGAAAAAAAAAAGCAGTCATCGATTTCAAGGGCAGAGAGTAATGTTAGATCATTTTATCTGATGACTTAGTAAAGCTGTTAAATGTAATATGCTTCTTCATTAAACCTGATCCTGTGTTTTCACTTAAGTAAACCTTTCAGAAAGATTTCTAGTCTTTATATTAAAATGTCAAGTGATGGGGTTTTTGCCCTGAGAGTTTGTTTAAGTGGGGGGTAACTGTCACTGGAATTTTTAAACTGCTTTATTTAGTTTGGCTTTCCTTGTCTGTAAATTCCAGTTATTGCTTCATAAGAAGGACACGGACCTGTTGGAGGGGGTCCAGAGGAGACCATGAAGATGAGAGGGCTGGAGCACCTCCCATACAAGGACAGGCTGAGAGATTTGGGGTTGTTCAGCCTGGAGAAGAGAAGGCTCCAGGGAGACCTTAGAGCAGCTTCCAGTGCTGAAAGGGGGGCTGCAGGAGAGATGGGGAGGGACTCTTGATCAGGAGGTATAGGGATAAGACAAGGGGTAAAAGTTTTAAGCTGAAAGAGGGGAGGATTTAGATGAGATATTAGGAAGAAATGTTTTCCTGTGCGGGTGGTGAGGCAGTGGCCCAGGTTGCCCAGAGAAGCTGTGGATGCCCCATCCCTGGAGGGGTTCAAGGCCAGGCTGGATGAGGCTTTGGGCAACCTGGGCTAGTGGGAGGTGTCCCTGCCCATGGCAGGGGGGTTGGAACTGGCTGATCTTGAAGGTCCCTTCCAACCCAAACCATTCTATGAGTCTAAGTATTTGGATTTAGTGAGTGTGTTAATTTGCCTTTGTACTGAGGTCAGTGACACATCTTCCAGGAAAACCAAAGGTTGTTATTCATCTGTTTTCTTTCCCAGTTTCTTTCATTACACTGTACATCCTTTCCTTTGTGGCGCTGTATTTTTGTCCTTTTGAATGACATAGTCCGTTATGGTTGTCTTCTGCAGATGATTTCTGATCTTCTTTGAGACTTTCAGCTGCTGTCCTCTTGCCTCCACTAAGTTTCCAGTTTCCTTGGTAAACTGTTTTCCTGCAAGGTCACAAGTGCTTGAAGAACTTCATTAATCCTTTTCTCAATCTTCAAATTGCATTTGCTGAGGTAGCACCTCATTAGTGGCAAAAGCTCCACGTTGAGTAGATGCTCTATGCCGTGGTCACGCTCTCATAGTCTGTACCCGCTGTGTATCTGCCTCTTGCAGGATGGACGTTATCTGGGTCTCGTACCTCATATCGGGCTGTTTGTCGCTCAGCATCTACCTGCTGTCCTTCTTCTTTGTTTACTTATAGTGTTCAAGGGACCTGGAACATTACTTTTAGATTTCTTCCCTTTTTTCAGAAGAAGTATCCTTTGATCAGTTCTACTTTTCGTCTCTGAGTTCCAGCCCAACACAGACCAGTTGTTTTTCAGCTCTCTCCTTCTCTGATCTCCATGCATGCTGCCTCCCTAAACCCTTACCCAATATTCTATTTTTTATGTCCGCTTTTGGCCTTGGGATCTCCCAGTTGGTCTTTTTTTTACGCAGTTCCTTATCTGGAGTTTCCTTCCTACATGTTCTATACTACAGAAAAAGTTATGGTTCTTCACATCTAGTCTCAGCACTTTTCAGTGCCGTTACATTTCTGCTCAGAGCTATAATGGAGTGTTTTCTTAAAGGGTTGTTGTTTGTTTTCAGGGGGACATTGTGACACTGTGTCAAGGCTGCCATAAACAGACTAAGTATGTCCTTGGGATGGTTAGAGGCATTTGAGACATTTCCAAAACGATGTAGATCATTCTCTGAGCATGCCAGCCCATCAAAGACATTTGTTACTTGCACAGTCTTCAATTACTTGTCTATCCCCCTTCTTTCATCTGCTGCCTGAAAAAGATAAGCGGTTGCTGGTTGGAAGCGCTGATGAGCTGCTCAAGAAATAAAGGAAGTTTTTAAAAAAAAATACATTTAAATGCTTGAATATGTTTTGAGTTGCAAAGATTTAAAGTAATAAAAAGG